ATGCCGTAACATGCTAACAGCTCAGTTTCCAGGCAGCAGAGACGATATTTCACAGCAACGACACCTTCATTTGTTCGCAGGCACTGCTAATCCACCTCATTTGTTTTTGCTGCTCCTCTTTCATTTTCTGTCTGGCCGAATGGTTAGAAAACTTTTGGTTCTGCTCCGCGTTCATGAAGTTTGCTTTTCAACTCCGCTGGGATTTGGGGTCAGAGTTCAGGAGTCGTTTGAGCTTTGGGGATGTCAAATAACTCCAAGAAAAGCAACGCCTCAACAAAAGAAACGGAACAAATCAGAACTGTGTTATTTAATGGAGTGTGACTAATTTTGCAAGGTGGTGATTATGCGTTGACTTGTAAATTCCTCTACAAAGCATTGATTTATGACTTTGATAATTCTTGGCATATTTACAAAACTCAATTTCCTGTGTTGCCACCATGTTGTGATCCGGGCTGAGTGATGAGCAACGAGTCACGCTGGCATTCGGAGCATGAATGTCTTGTAATCACCTCTTTGTCGCAGCTCTTGATGTTTCCGGCAGAACCTGCTTTCTCGGCTTCAGAATGAAATTGCCTTAAACGAAATTAGCTCCGCAGAGAGAACAATGGGCTGATGACATCGCCGGGTGCTGACTGTTCAGTTAAGTTCAACCTCAGCTGCTGCTGGTGACCTGATTGCCAAATTTATGAACCGCTTGAGTCTTTCTGAATGGATACGTTGTGTTGTTGAATTCAGTCTGATTTTTTTTTTTTTTTTTGGGGGGGGATCCGTTTTTTATTCTTTTATTTTAATAAATGTTTGTTTTGCAGAAGTTGTGATTTATATCTCACTCTTAGTCCAATAACAAGTGAGTTGTAATCATATTTCGGGGATTTTTATGAAGACAAACAATATTCAGGTAGTTGAAAATAATGAAGTAATAGTTGAAACAACATAGAGCTGTTGGACATGAAGTATTACATTACTTGTTTATTGCTTATTTAAGGCTGGGTGATAAATCGGTTTTATCAGTTAATCCAATTTTTTGTTTTTGAACATTTATTTTCTTTTAAATTGGACTGTTTTTTCACCAGTGCACTCCTTGGGTTTTTACAGTTCAGAGTGGCGCCATCTTGTTTGTGAAGTTTACAGCTTCTACATATTTTAATTTTAAAGGTCAATAGATTATTAGGCCCAGGCTACTATTTTTTTTGTTATGAGCATAAAGTCTTAACATTACAAGAATGCAATCATTCAACAAAGTTGAAATAATATAAAAATAAATTTTAGTATTACCAGAATAAAGTTGTAGTATTAGGAGAATGAGATAGTAACTCTATGAGAACTTCAAAATGTACAATAAAAATTAAAATGAGTAATTAGTAGCAGGACTTTGAAACAATCGACCAAATGACTGACTCACATCTGATCTTTATAAGTCTAGAAACTTTTTCCTCATAAAAACGACTTTATTCCTCAAAACTTTAAGTTGTTGCTCTGGTAAAATTGAGTCTTTATTGTGCTAATATTGTTACTACATTCTTGTAATTAAAAAATAATTAAAAATAAATTGTAGTCTCGCTCCAATATGCCTTTGTACAACTCACAGAAGGGATTATTGAAAGAAAAGCCACTTTTTGACAATATTTTCTGTCATTTGTAAATTCTTTTTAGAAACGAAAGCAAGGAAATCTGGTATTAAAAAAAAAAAAAGATTTTATTTTCAGACCTTAATGTCCTGTAGTTTTCATTAGTAAAATAATTTTATTTTTATTTTTTAGAGGATAGGGCACTAAAACTCGCTCCAGCCCAGGGGCCCGCATCCTTGTGAATCCGGCCCTGTATGTTCACATAACTGGATGAGGAGTAATGCAGATTGGTGCGTGCGTGTGAGAATCTCTGACTCGAAGGGCCACCAATCCACACGCGCGCGCGCGCACACACACACACACACACACACACACACACACAGAGTGCTGTTTGCACATGTGGGATCATTCACCAAGCCACTGCAACCACAAAACACAATGTTGCCCTTAAACACATGGAGCACAAACCCACGCATGCATGCACACACACACACACACACACACACACACTTGCGCGCACACGCACATGCACACATCCATACAAACACGGTGAGACCTTAATAAATCTCTATGTAATAAGCCCGGGTGTGGAAGGATCCACCTACGCTGTGTTTTCAGAGCAGAGAATAAAGGCTGAATGCATTATTGCTGTATATATGTGTGTGTATATATATATTCACACAGCCCTGTGATTAATTGGAAAGCTGCATTTGGTATTGATTTGAAGTGCGGAGTGTGTGTGAGAGAGAGGGTGCACAGGCGCTGACGGACTGCACCTTTAATGTACTGATTTAGATGCAGGGGGAACTCGGCATGTCTGAGATTCCCACCGGAGTCATACAGAAACATACACACACACACACACACACGTTCGGTCCCTTTCCCCGCCGCCCCCTACACACATGGTTAGGTTTATCAGGGTAATGGCAGTGCAGTAATGGGCGAGGATGAGGAGGATGATGGTCATGCTGGTGGTGATGTTGGGGGTTGGCTAAACCATGAAACTCCTTAGAGGACCAAAGCAGGCAGTAATGATTCAGAGGGTGTGTGTGTGTGTGTGTGTGTGTGTGTGTGTTCTTGGTGAGAACACAGAAAGGGCAGAGTCAAATAAAAACAATCGATATCTGTATCATATTCAGATATGGTATTGTTTTACGAGGACTCATGGAGGAATTGGCTTTGATCAGAGCGCACGTGATTTCAAGAGCCTTTAACGGCTGCTGCAGCTCCAACCATCTCTGATTAGGACCGGGCGATGTGACCTTCCCTCTGCCTACATCTCCCAGAATGCCGTGCGGTTCTGGATCGGAGTTCAGTGAATTTATTGAACGCTATCGAACAGGGTGTCTGTTGATAGTACGGTGGCTTACTCTGGCCGTTGTAGACAGAAAAAGAAGAGGAGGAAAAAAATCTCCCTCCATGAATCTGAGACGATTTCCATCTAGAAAGCAAGTAAATTTCTGAATTTGAAAAAAAAAAAAATTGACTTTGAAACTCAGAAAATTTCTCAAAAATGTCTGACATCTCAAAACTTTTTTGGTGGAAATTTACTTCTCCTTTCTACAGTGGTCCTAATACGCCTTCGTATGATATTGATCATGTATCTATAGCTACGTACACCATTACTGATTTATTCAATCTCTGAGTGATTCACATCCATCTTTCCATGAAGAAGAAAAGCGTCCAGCTGGCATGATGCTGCCACCGCTGTGTTTCACAGTCGTACCGTTTTGCATGTAAGCCAGAATGTCCTGTTTTGGTCTCGTCTCATCAGATTACCCTCCTGATGTTTCTGGTTTGCAAATATGTGCTACTTTGTGGTTTTTCTCTAAAATTCTCACGACATACACACGCCTGTCACAATAAACAATAAATCAATTAATCACATTATGAATGACAGGAAACTCAGTAATATTCAGTTTCTTGGTTTATCGTTTTTCTCTTTTCTTTCTACCAGAACTGGTCTTCAGTCTGCAGTTTGGTCTCAACTATCCCTTTTTGAAAGACAGTTTTGTTTATAGACTTCATAATTCATTTTATTTGTCGTCTTCTTTATTTTGGATATTTCAAATCCACTACAGTTCCAGTGATTAAACGCTGATTAGAATTTAAAGTTGATTTATTCTTGAGAATGTGTTCTGGCATCATTTTGCCATTATTACTATCGCATTACTTGAAAATGATCTCAAAACAACAATATTATCATGTATCAATATCACAATAAGTTCTGGGACAATTTATCATCCAGCAACATTTGCTATTGTGACGGGACTAGATATGCATTTTATTTTGATGTAACATGACAAAAATACTGAAAAGTTCGAGGGGCATGAAAACTTTACCAAAACAGTTTGTAATGTTCTGTTTGTAGAGGTGAGCATTTATTGTTTACTGTAAAAAAAAATCTGTAACACTTTATTTGAAGGTGTGTGCATAAGACTGATATGACACTGTTATTAATATAACACCTGTTAGGAATGTAAAGGAGTTTTTCTAAATGTTTGACTGTTGTCATGAAGTGTTATTCAGTAAATAATTACACTTTAAATGCAAAGTTGTGTTAAAAGTTGCGTTAACAGTGTCAACTTTGAATTATTTGTTAAATAATGACACTTTTAAAGCACTGTCACATTAAAACTTGTTTAAAAAGTCAAAAACTGTCATTATTTACCGAGTAAAACTTAATGACAACAGACATAAGCATTCATGAAGACTCCTTCATGCTCATGACTGCTGTTGTCAGTCTTATGCAAATTAAGTGTTGCCAAAAATTCTGATCGGAAAAATTTTTATTTCTCGTTTTCTCAATTAACTTCAATTAATGTTTAAAAAAGAAATAGAAATATTATAAATTACATTATTTTTTTTACTATTCTTCCATGAAAGCTTCAATAATTAAAACTAATTGGATTAAATGTAGTTACTATGTGCAGTTTGAATCACATTTCAAGAACAATATTTGTGTTTGTGCCGCTGTGAATTAGGCGCCATACTGTCACCTAAACAAGAAGTAACAAATAGTTTTACATTGTCATTTTTATCGTTATCGCAATAGTGCCGTGAAATATCGTGATAAAAGTCCATGCTGCCCATCGCTGGCTGTCGCCGTGCGCCATCTTTATTTTGATGGTGTTAATCAGCCGGTCGCTGGCAGACGGATTCCCTCCTCGCCTCCGCTCTGTTGTGGTTTTCGGCCGTGAACCGTCTCCTCCGGCCAGCCTGTCTGTGGTCTGTGTTGTTGAGATGGAGCGCTTCAGTAGTAATGTGATTACAGAACAGAAACATCAGCGCGTATTGATTGAGCTCCCCAATCCCAGACATAAAAGCACAAGAATAAAAATCAATTCGCGTTGTGTGTTTTTTTTTTTTTTTTTTAAACTTCGGTTCTGGTGGTTTTTCTGTGTGACTGAGAGTCTCTGTTCTTTCTCGCAGGCGAGGCCTTCCCGACAGGCTCCAGTCCCTTCCTGTCAGGTTACCCAGGCCCCTCCTCGTTGACCTCTGACCCCGCGTACAGGTCGGCCAATCCCAGCGGTCTGCAGATGGCTCAGCTGTGGGCGTCGCACGCTCACGAAGGTAAATAACCCGACGAAACTCCCGACTTCTCTGTCCGCCGATAACTCAGACAAGAGCGTTGCCACGGTTTCGGGACTTTTTTTTTTTTTTTGCTGGAGCTCAATCCCCAGATGGCCCGTTCTTCTTCTGCTTCTGCTCCCACCAGCCGGATCCCGTTCCATTTCTGTGTCACGGCCGGCGGCTCCTCTCTCAGCTCCGTCCTAAATCCGTCTCTCCCTCTCTGTCCTCAACCAGTCCTTCGCTTTCTTTCATTCGCCCGTCCTCTCTTACTGTAATCTATCTTTTTCTCCTTCATCCTGCTCTGCGCATCTCAGTCCGCCTCTATGCAGCGCCGCTGCCCCACTTTTCCGTGACATCTTTCTCCGTGCTCTCTTTAGTCCCGGGTGCCTTTGTTCAGGGCCGCTCAGCAAGTGATTAAATCTTGCGTCTCCCTTCGTTCCCTTGTGTCTTTTTGTGACTCCTTATCGCGTCGCATCTGGGTGGAAGGTCAGATAGGAGGAAAGGCATCTTACACCGCATGCTGGCACCAAGCGTAGAGAGAGAAGGACAAACGGATCGCAGTTAAGATTTCCTTTAAAACTGATTGGGTTTTTGTGCCTCTAAGGTGATGCATTCAGTGATTCAGATTGGAAACTGTGTGATTAGGTTTTTTATAGACTTCTTTCTTCTTCTTGAGCTACTTTCTCTAATCCAAGGACTTGCCAAGGGTAAGGAACAGGCTAGTGATTACATCTGTGATTGTAACTCACTGGTCGACCTTAAGCTTCCTCCAGTAACAGTAATAACTCTGACCTCCATAAAGGAAGCTTATATTTTTATGGGGTTTTTTAATCTCCTGCCCTGCTACACCTTTTACAATAAAAACAAACAATCACAGATCAAGGTTTGAGATACATAAATGAACTGATACCATGCCAGGATGTTTCATAACTACATTTAAAACAAACAAAGTTTGTTTCTGTTACAGTGAAAAAACCTTCTGTCATGATACAATAATCAACTATGAAACGAGCATTAAACATCACATTTCCAAATCCCGTCATCTAAATCACCAAGTTGATCCATGTTCCACTTACTGCTGATCAAATGCAACTCTTAAAGGAATCTCAGCGTTTCGGTATCTTGAAGTTTGTTCCAGATTTGATTCTGGTTCTTCCTGGTTTTAACACTTCCTTCGTTGGACGTCCGTGTCTTAGAAGGTTTGCCACTGTCCCACGCTCTTCCCGTTTTCAGACGATGGATGTAGCACTGCTCTTAATTAATGGCTACTTTGTGTTCAAATCCCAATAAAATACGTTGAAGTCTGCGGTTATAATTCATAAATCTGCAACCGAGAGGCTGTTTGACTTTATATTCTGACAAAGGAGGAGGAGATATCACATGAATGACTGAACTTGGACACTTGATCTAAGTTTATCTCTAATTGATGCTTTGGTATCTGAAGCTAAAAGAACTCGGTTCTGCCCACAGGCTGCAAAAGCCACACAACTCACTTCCTTTGATATGAAAGACATCCGACTCAGGCTGAGAGAGAGATTCCTAATACCTGATGTCTGACTGTAAGAGCAGCTAATGTTTTTAAAAGCTGCAGACGTTTCCAGCCGGAGCTGCAAGCCGCTGGAGTTCGTGTGCAGCTGTTATCTGCGGTTAAAGGCAGCTTTACGAGAAACTCCTCCTGCATACCTTCACTCTTAAACCACCGTGCCGTTTTCGAGTTCCCACTTTGCAGCCCCTGTCTTCTATCCCATAACAATCCCACCGCTCTTCTCCGCTGAGTTTTCCATGTAGGCGGACAGGTTTGTTTAGTTTTTTTATTTCCAGAGCTTTGTGCAAGAGTATTAACAGTTTTTAAACTTTTAACAAAGCATTCTTGTTGTTATTTCGCTGATCCATTTTTAACATTAAACTTTGATCTTTTATTAGTTCCTTCCCTTGGTATTGTTGGTCATTGTTTTGTTTTTTATAGATACAGTGGGAGGGTTTAGAAGTTTCCAAGGCGGGGATCTAAATTAAGATCTAGTCTCTGAGAGCAGCAGCTGCCCAGTGGGCAGACTTTGGCTCAACAACCTGAAGGGACCGAGGACCAGATGACTATGCCATCAGCTGGAACAATATTAAATCAGATTATTTGGAAAATTCATTTAATATCTCCGTCATGTCCGAATTCCTAATTTTTCTCCAGTCTGAGACATGTTTTATTTTGTATAATAATCCAGGAGACTGTTTTTCTTTTTCCTCAAAATATTTTCATTGAAATCTTTTTATTATTATTACTTTAACAATAAAAAAACTACACCCCACCCAGTGCAGTTCTATAAAAACGCTCTGTACTGAGCTGGATTTCTCTTGGAGGTTGGAAACAAATAGTAATAGATCATCAGCGTAAAGTTTGACTTTTCAGAATGTCCTGAATTTTCACACAACTTCTAATGGATATCAGGATCAGATTGATAAATATGGCTAATAACGTCTGGCTGAAGGAGCCAACCTGTCCTGTGCCGTGTTTAAGATTTAAGGTTTGAGATTAATAGATCAAAGGGGAGAAGATATAACAAGATTTTAAAGCTAATTGATAGAATCCTCTCCGGTTTCTAACAGTGAAACACTTGAAGCAATTTAAAAGTGAACCTGCAAATTTTCATAATTGTGTTTATTACTCAGTCGTGAAGTTATTCTTCACTCCATTTGGTTCTTAAAATGTGAGTCTGGGGAGACAAAACGATGAAATGACCTAAAATGTATATTTGATTATTTCCTTCTATCAAGCATTAGAGAAAGTTAGGCATAAATCTTTTTAAAGTTTTTTTTTTCTGTCACAAATTGCTGTCAGAAAAACAAAATTTAACATCTTGAGTCTTTTTTACTTGAGCAAAGCCTAAATAATTACATTTTGAAGCAGTTACTGGTGATGCTTATATAACATGCTCTGTTTCTCTTTTTGTCCCTGCCAGGCTACCCTCCCCTCCCAAGCAGCCTTTACTCCAGTCCCTACTTATCTCTGGGCCGCCTGGAGACGTCCTCGCTCTCCCAACATCCTCTCTATGATCCTCACAAAGGTCAGTCACCCCTTACAGCCGCAATCATGGAGACAATCACGTCCAAAATTGTTTGTCTTCATGATCTGATTACTTTTGCCGTCCGCTGTTGGTGTTTTTCCTCTGAAATAATCTGTGCAAACAAAACTTTGGATTTGTTTTCGTTCAGACGGATACTTCCTGACGTCCTCACTGAACCAATCACCTCTGCACCCTCCGCCTGCGTCTTCGGCCGCCCCTTCCAGCTCTACGCCTCCCCAGAGGACGTCCCGGGACGGGGTCAGGGACAGGACGTATCGGACAGAGAGGGACAGGGAGAGGGAGCGTCTGCGCGAAGAGCCGCGGCCGCACAGCGTGGTGGATCTGACGCAGGAGACACGAGGCGAGGACGACCGCAAGGTGAGCAGAGATCGGGACCGAGACAAGGACCATGAGACGGACAGAGACAGAGAGAGGGACGCTTGGTCCTTTCATCCTCACCAGCAAAAGTTACACTCCTCTCACCCTTTGGCGGTGGAGACCCGATCCAGACTGTCGCCTCCTCAGCCCTCGTTCCCTCTCAGTGAGGGCCGGTTCCTCGGTTCGGAGAAAGACCGAAGGGGTTGGGAAGAGGAGGGCGCTTCTCGACCCCACCACAGCCACAACTCCAACTCCAACAACTCCAACTCTCCTTCCGAGCGGCAGCGGAGGAACGAGTCCATGGCCACAGCGGCCGGGACACTGCACGTCTCCTACGTCCTCCCCCCTCCGTTACAGCAGCCCAGCGCCGGTCTTCCCCACCTCCCCACGCCCAGAGAGCAGCGAGTCAGCGCGCCCACGTATGTGCCTTCTGTGGAGGTTTACGACGAGCGGGTAGGGCCCATCCAGATCGCTTCTCAGGCCCGGGACAACAAACACAGAGACAAAGAGCTTGAACGAGACAGGGAGAGGGAGAGGGACAGGGACAGAGACAGAGACAGGGAGAGCTACAGGTTTCATGAGAAAAGCCTCATGGAGCATCCTCGGCTCTCCCAGTCAAGCGAAACGACCAATCAAAGAGAGGAAGGTTCTGTCATTTGCTCCAACGGTTCTCTCAGTAAACGAAACCAGGACACGTCTTTCTCCTCAGGCCGATCCCGCTTCAGTCCAGAAACCAGGGACCTCTCCAAACACTCGCTCAGAGTCGGCATCGGGTCAGAGTCTAAGTGGAACGCCATGACCCCGTCGGCCAACTACGCCACCAATCACATGGCCGCATTGGCGGCCCAGCACGGACACAATCTCTCCGCTCCTCACAACCAGCCGTCGCAGACCCAGAAGTCCGGTTCCCCTCACTCGTCGCATCGACCCAACAGCTCGCAGTCCTCCCACAGTCATTCGCCACAAACGCACGGACATGGGCGCGCGGCCGAGGAGGGCAGCCAGAGGCGCTACCTGGACCAGTCGGGGCTTTTTCGGCCCGCAGGGTCCGCTGATTCGGATTCTGCAGAGGTTTCTGCCATGCAGAGTTTGATTAAATACAGCGGGAACTTTGCCGCCGAGGGGCCCACGTCTTCCAGGCACATCATGGATGGGAGGGGGCCTTTCGGCGGTCTGGGGAACATCGGGACGAGTGGCGAGAGGGAAAAGGAAAGGGAGCGGGAAAAGGAACGAGCGCTGAGGGTCCCTCCTCAGCTGAAGAGGGAGCAGGAGCGGCCGGACAGCGCCCGCTCCTTCGGCAGAGAGGGGGAGGGCGAGGTGCGACACCCGCCCGTTGGGATCGCCGTCGCTGTGGCGCGGCAGAGAGACAGCGGGAGCTCCAGTAAGCAAACCAGCGGAGGCTCCGACACACAGAGACCCCTGCTGCAAACGGCCATCAAAGGTAACGGCTCTTATTCAGCTTGAACTAGTTAGATGTTGCTGCTTTAAACTCTCTGCTGCTTCCTGTTTGTTTATCTTGTTTTATTTATTGGTCTAAAAAGTAATCCTAGAGTGAAATTGACGTCTTCGCTGGCTTCTGCTTTCCACTCCTGCGTGGTTTCTGTCAGAATCGTACTCCGCATGGTGTAGATCCCCACCGCTACCTGAACAGGGTTGAGATGATTCCTCACTTCACTTTTAGAGAATAATGGGAGATTCATTTCCTTATTGTAAAAAAGTCACGAATCCTCTGCAGCTATTTGAGGCATTCAGGTCTTGACCTGCACTGTGACCTGTGTTGTGAACCTTTGCAAAATATTAATAAGCCTGTTGCAGATAGGATTATTGACCTGCTTTGACTCTCCTGTTCATACACATTTTACCTGAGTCTGTTTTCTCTTTAAGAGCTTTAATATAAGAGCAGAACTCAGTATAATTTCTTGTTTCCTTCCAGCTTCGTCATCAGTGACGACCTGGTGTGACTAGAGGCGACGTCACACCAGGTGTGTCCGGGAGCAGCTGCTTTTAAACAGGGTTTTACTTTTTTAAGGCTAAAACAAAATAATGCAATGGACATTTTAAGCTTTACTGTTTATTTTCTAGACTTTTCTTTAGTTAGGGATGCTCGGTATATCAACACTTATATCGGTATCGGCTGGTATTAGTAATTTTTTTACATTAGTCTAATAAATAAAACTGGGCCAGAATTAAAGCTTATGCTTGTTTCCAGCTTGTTGCTGTTTGTTTTTGGAGGATGAAAGGGACAAGATTGGTCTTGTGGTATTTATTTGGTCATGTGAAAGTGATGCAAAGGATTGTGGGTAGTTTACCTGAAGCAGAGAAGCAATGATAAAGTCATCGATGTGATGTTAAGATATCAATATCTGTGCCTCCCCAGCTGTAATGCATTCAGTCTTTCCGTTATCTTTAGGAAGCAGGAAGTTCAGCTCTCTCTCGCTCTCCCGCAGCCTAAATGAACAGCAGACATGTCTCCAGTAGCTCTAGAGTCCATCTGAACGGCGCTCCTTAAATCTTCATTTACCTTTTACTGCAACAGGTTGTGTGTGGAGATGTTTTTGGGAGTTTCTAATCAGCTGGTGTTCCTGAAAACTGCCCCGGTTCTGGTCACTGGTTCATTTCTCTGAGCCGTTTGTGTGAACCTGTCGGCCCTCCTGCAGTAAAACATGCTATTCTTGGACTCCAAGGTCACTCGGCTATAAGGTTCCTGCTCGGTGTCTTGTCTTTGTCCTGGTTTCGGCCTCCGCTCTGGGTGCCATTGAGCTCCTTCTGTCCTCCTGCTATTCAGCGCCTCTCCCTCTGTCTTTTGCTCTTTTCTTTGGGGTTGCGTCTCCACCCTTCCCTCCGTTCTAAAGAGGCTTTTGTAGAGGTGCTCACTCCTCTTCCCACCTCAGGCCCCCTTCACTTTCTGTCCTGTTTTCTTTGGCTTCCCTCACTCCACTCTTCCCCCTCTGCGTTAAACTTGTCACTCCTGTGTGCAGTGGAAAGCTACAAGCAGGCTCTGAATTACAATAAGACCCTGGTTGTGTTGCTAAGCAATGGATCAATCTTAAGTAACTCTGAGTGTGTGTGTGTAGCAGTAACTATAAATGTTTGCTGGTATTTATTGTCGTACCCTGGCTTCCTGTCAAGGAACACTTCTTAGGCTCTCTGGTGGGGGAAAAAAATGTTAAAATTTAGATTTTTGGCTCCAGCAGAATATTTATAAAAAAATGCATAAAATGATTGATTTCATCAGTGCGTAAGCATCTCTGCCCACTCATTCATCCAGGAAAACCAATCCATATAGTCAAATGTACTGTTGATATAGAGACTGATATTATATCCTAGCAAACATTACATCCAATCAATGTTCAGCTACACTATTACTCTTTTTTTTTTTTACTGAGTTATGTGATAATTTGTGCAGCTTTGATGTTAAGTAGTAAATTAAGTGTTGACCAAGATGTTTGTGATTATAATATTTATCCAATAATCTGATGGTGATGTTCTCCTGATGGAAGAAGTTCTGCACTGCAAAAACACAAAATCTTCCCAAGTGTTTAGTTTTATTCTAGTTTCCACTGCAAACATCTTAAGTACATTTGAAATAAGACAAATAGCTTAAAAAGTAAATTTTTAGCTAAACATAAGAGCTTGTTTTAAGTCAATAATTGATAAGTATTGATAAAAATGCAGATCATTTCAATTACAAGACATTTTCCCCATGTTGTAAGTGAAAGAATCTGCCAGTGAAACTAGAAATTTTTTTTTATCAATATTTATGAATTATTGATTTAAAACAACCTCCTAATTCTTGTTACTTGTAAGTTAGTTTTGTCTCACTAAGTAAGATGTTGTGTTTTTGCCTCCTCTGTCACATTTCTTACATTTAAACGAGCTGTAGATGGAAAAGACAAGTAATCAAGAATCAATGGATGTGCAGATGGAGTAAAATAAATAAAAGGTTTGACTAATAAAGGGAAGATAGAGTCTAACATCACAGATGGGTCACCAGGTCTCGGCCGACGTTCCCAGTGTTTCCTACATCCCTGCTGCCGGGTCTTATCTGGACTCTTGGGAAATGCGATGAGGCTAAATCCCTACATAAACATCAGGGTGCATCATCAAAATGCCCTCATGTCATGTAAACAGTCATCAGGCCAGCAGCAGGTGTTGCTTGTGTCATTTTAAAATGCCTCTTAAAGACGAAGTCATGCTGCGTAATTCACTCAACTTCAACAAACGTTACACTTTTGAGATTTTCTAGACACGTTTCCAGTTTCCAAATGTAATCTGCTTGGTAACACAAGCGCTAAATTAAGAAAACGCTGGTATATGTCAGAACTGGACCAATCGGGTTCTGATTTACGATCAGAGTTTTGACTTGATTAGCAGCATGTTAAATGTTTCAGGAATAAAACTGTAGCTTTACTCCTACTGTGAATGCTGCTCTAGTCATGCTGCTGATTAGAGTCACAAACCTGCAGTCATTTATCCACCGACATGCAGGTTGGCAGGTCACCTGGGGTCGAGTGGCTCCAGGGTCAAACGATGAAGGTGAAACCATCAGATTTTAACACTACAGCTTCATCCACTGACCCACAGCTGGTCCTGACTACAGAAAGTGACTCTGAACTTGTTCTTCCATCATCCATCCTTCTTTAAGTTTGCTCTTCATTCCTTCTTTTCTTCCTTCTGTCCTTACTACTTTTCTTCTTTTGCAATTCCTTTCTTTCTTTACAGTGTCTTTCTCTCTTCATCCCTCATGTCTTTTATTCCTTTCTTCTTTGGTCCTTTCTTTCTCTACTTGACTTCTTTCTTCCACTCTTCATTCTTTCCTCTGTTGATCCTTCGTTTCATACGTATTTAATTTGATCCTTTCTTCCTCTTGTTCTTCATTCATTCTTTGTGTTTTGTTTACTTTCTTTCTTATCTCCCTTCTTTTATTTCCTCCCATGACTCTATCCTTCTTTGTTTTATTCCCTTTTTTCATCACTTTCATCTTTGTTCAGTTTTTTTCTTTTTTCTTTTCTTTTCTTTCTTTGTAATTCCTCTTTCCATTGTTTCTTTTCTTTCCTTTTTATGGTGTTTTTCCTTCCTCACTTCATCCCTCTGGTCATTTATTCCTTTCTTACTCATCTCCTTTTTCTGTACTTGAGTCCTATTGTCCTTTTTTACTTTCTTTCATTGATTCTCTCTTCCATTCCTTTTATCCTTCTTTCTACCCTTTCTTTTCTTCCTTCCATCTAATCTTTTTTCCTTCTTTTTTCTTCCTTCCAGCTGATATTTAAAATCTTGTCATCATAGACCTAATGTAAATTCATAATAAATGTTATTTTTATTATATTTATTCATTGGGCTCCTAGATGGAGGGAGCATCGCTCATTCCTGTCTTCCTGTCCAGCATGTGGGACGGCTCTCTGTAGCCTTGGTAACCGAAGCCTTTCCTCCAGAGCATATAGGGGATTGTTAAAGTACTCTGTCTCTTTGGAGGCTTCACACACACACACACACACACACGTGTGGAGCAGAGCTGAAGGGTCCAGCAGCACATGTATTAAGCCCCTCTGCTGCCCGGGGACCTCCAGTCTGATGAGATGGAGGGGGCTTCAGGGGCTTCAGGGGGGATTCGGCTTGGAGAGCCTCATGTTTATTTTGCACAGCCTGGTTGAGCTGCTGTCAGTTTTTCCCCCTTCTGACAGTCAGAAGGCTTTTGGGCCCCTCGGTGTGTTAATGCAGTAATGAGGCGGTGGTGGCATGCTCACACTTCTCTTGTGGCCGTTCACTATTAATCGATGAGAGCTGACTGTCACTCTGGACTTTTTTTTGTGTGTGTGCGTTTTTTCACGCGTCCAGCGTTGTGTTTTCAGCTCCTCATCTTGTTTTGACAGGTGGTGTCGCGCACCCTATTATCTAGCTGGTGTTACCTTGTCCTCTCTCTCTCTCTGTGTCTCTCTCTGTCTCTCTCTTTCTCTCTCTGTGTGTCTCTCTCTCTCTCTTTCTCTCTCTGTGCCTCTCTCTCACTTTTTCCACGTCTGCTTTTTCTTGTAATTTAATTGTATGCACATTGTGGTAAAACGAGGTTTCTGCGTGCAGACGAGGATCGAGGTGAAGAGCGCGCTCGCCACCACGATGACCGACTGCTGGCCGGCCGGCTGGAGCGAGAGCAAGAGAAAGTCATCAGGTGAGGAAGCTCAGCTCTCGGTTATTGTTATTCGCTCCGACATAAATTCTGCTGTGCTTACAGACTGTGACCTTTTCGTTTCTCCATTTTCTCATAACTTCCACCAGCTTCAATGTGTTTCATTAGGATTTTATGTGATAAATCAACTTAAAGTAGTGCAAAGTTGGGAAGTTGTAAAGAAAATATGTTGTTTTACTTTTATAGAAATATAAACATGTAGAGTTCTTCCCTGAGTGTCTTCATTGCAGTTTAAATACAGTCGCAGATTTTTGAGGATTTTTCCTTTTATTCTTTGCAACACAGCTGCAAAAATCTGTAAATCTTAATTTTCCAAGTGTTGCTAAAGTTTTTCAGTTGGATTTAGGTTTGTACTTTGACTAGACCAGCTCCCAAAGAGCCACTTTCAGCCTTCCATAATGGCTCTTAGTAACTGTGGCTAAAAGTGCAAAAGAATTAGGTGTTGTTTCTAAGTTTAGATATAATAACAAACTCTGGTTTTTAGCAGTTTTTCAGTTCATCCCTCAGTATTTGCATTGAAGTTTCACAAAGAATGAGACTAAAAGTGCAAATAAAATGGATTTAGATCTGGTTTTCTTATCATTAGTGGGTAGTACATCATTTTCTGATCCACAGAACAACAAAGATGCATCCTTTTTTTGTGTGTAATTTTTTGTTTATCTTTGTTTTGAATCCTTAAAAAAGGCAGATCTTTAAAAACGACAAAAAAGTCTTTTTTTTTTTTTTTTTTTTTTTTTTTTTTCGTAAAATTTTTCCCCCTAAAATTTTTTTTTTCACCAAGGGGGGAGAAAAAACATT